GACAGTACTCAGTATCCTTAATATCATCTTTATGCTTTGTAAATATTAGGTCAAGCATAGACGGTGTATTAATCCTGCTTAGCCTGGGATAGTCTGTTACGTTTTGGAAAAGGCAACTTTATAACATCTTGTAGTTTAGCATTCCTCGAAATTCCCCCAGTCAATGTTGCTATTAAAATCCCATAACGAGAATTTCTTTGGATTGGATTCCGAAAGTTGTAATACTTCTCCCAGGCTCTTTCATGTCTCTTGGGTTATGTTTTGGCATTTTTCTTGTAATCACATCGATGTATGGGGTGACATGTGCACTGTGGTTATTATTATGTTTACCCCGTTTGTTTCTACCTTAATTTCCTCAAGTTCCACAATGGGGTCTTGTTTATACGTCTTGGCAGGCACTCATAACCACCATCAGCGCCTCATCATGGAAGGCATACTCACAACAATACAAAAAAAAAACGCTTTGCAATAATGAAAACTCAACACCACTCCTGTGTTTCGAACCATAACCTGTTGGTTGTAACTGGTATCCAGTTGTTGTTGTTTTTTTAGTCACCTGTCTCGTGCTGTTTGATATCCATTCCGTTTTACTGTTTTATCCTTTTATAGCTAGTCATTTTATCTTATGTTCACTTTTAATTTTGTCAGATTTTACTTACTTCGGTTCTGGTCTTACTTATGTTCAGTTATTCTAATTTCTCAAGTTTGTAAAGACCTGCTTTAAGATATAGTATGTTATTATTTTGTTGCAATTTACATACTGTTTTTTCTCCCCATATATTGGTCTGGTAAATGATTTATTGGTCTGGTAAATTATTTATGTTACATAATCCGAAACGGCGCCTAATAATAAATAAATAAATAAATAAATAGGATGGTCCCAGCCTTGGTGTTTCTCTTCCTGATACGACTGCGATTTCCCCGTAAAGAAATCATATATATATATATATATATATATATATATATATATATATATATATATATATATATATATATATATATATATATATATATATAGACATCAACTAACTCCAGCACACCATGGAGGTCTCTTCAGAAGTTATTTATGAATTGCTGGATAAAGTGAGAGCCAAAGAGCCGTTGTGGAATACCAGCAATAAGGGTTATAAAAGCAGAAATTTGGAAAAAAAAAAAAAAAAAGGTTGAAGAATGACATGAATAATGAACACCGTGTGTTGTGAACGCTGGACTGGTATGATGGTTCTTTCCGAAGGGATACTGTGTGCAGTGTGACCAATCCCAAAGCTGACTTGGCCTTGGCGATGCTGTCTAGGGACCCCAGGGCAGAACTAGTGTGACTGTCGCTTAAAAAAATGACCTTCAACCTCCTGATTCCTGATAGACTGCTCCTTGTCCCATCTTAAAGGCGCTGTCACACTAGCACTTTTTCCGTCAATTTTTAAAATTTTGTATTTAACATAAATACAAACAATCTCGAATATAGCCCTTGATTTGACTATGCTTGGCTGAAAAAGTTGACGGAAAGGTTTTCAGACGGAAACGGTCATTATCGTCTGACTGCAAAATCGACAATTCGCTCAAAAATGGACAAAATTTCCGAAAGTTGTCAAAAAATTGACGGAAAAAGTGCAAGTGTGACAGCGCCTCAACAGTATCAGTTTTCTGCGCACCGAGGAACGCCGCAAATCCTGATTGCCGTTCAGTCAAGCCACACGACATGTAGCCTAAAACATCTTTGAGATGAAGTTCTGGCTTAATCTTGGGCATTTGCCAATGGAGTCCTGGGCTCGTATCCACGTAAGTTCTCAGACAAATCTGAGACAAAAAATTCAGAAGTGTCTGAGGAAGAAATATGTCGGTCGTTTGTTTACATCGTTGATCTGTGCTTATTTTGTAATTACTTACTCATAAATACTTAAAAATGTTTGCAAACATGTGTTTTCTTTGGCGAAATACTCTATTGTGCTGGTACAACACACGTAAATCAACCAGTACATTAGAAAGACAAAAATAAGAACAAATATTGATAAAAAATGTAAAGACTGCCTTTGTTGAAGCAAAACATATTCTCAACTCAAATGTAAGACAGGCTCGCAAGTCTTAAGTCATTTGAGAATAGACTCAGACGGTTCAACATTGGCTTATAGGCCTATGTACGTATATGCGCAT